AAGAAAACTATAGTACAGCCATTATTAGATGGTAGCCTGTTCATCGTTTTCAAATTTTATTATGAACCTGCATTCTAGACTGGATCCTCAATTCTTCCAGGTTCCCCCAATCTAACTTTCTTCCCCTTTTCCAACTTGGAATCACTAAGAACAAGAACTGCTCTGTTCCTAAAACCTCACAAGGTATACAGGAGCACCATGATACAATTTCAGGCCCAAGCCCCAAGCCTGACTGAGGCCCCAGGGGGATTCAGGAAGACACCCAGAGCCTCATCTAGAGACACTCCAACCTCAACCAGGAACTGTGCTTTGAGCTGAAATCCAGAAAACTTCTGGACAAACTTCCCTCTAGACTAAGAGACTGAATTTTTCTTTTGTTCTAACCACTGACTTTCACTTTTCTTTTGTTCCATGAAAACATTAGCGGGTTGGTTTGTGGAGCCCTTGGCTAAGGAGCACTCTTGCCTCTTGCTTGGTGTGATCCTGAAAGGCATTACTCAAATCTCTCTGATGCACTGTATCTTTGCAAAGGCCTAAATGTGTGTTCACAGCCATCAGTGGTGTGCCAAATGGTCCCATGGTGACCAGAGCAAGAAAAATGGATGACCAACAAAAGTTACCTCTCTCCACCAATTCTGACAACATGAGACAAAGATAATCAGCCATGACGGTGGAGCTTATGCTAAAGTTTTGGTCAATCTCTCATGAATGAGAGGAAGAAAATAAAGGGGAATTTTTTTTTAATTCTAATTGGGCAGATGGGGGTAACTCTGGCACCTTAAATTCCTATTAAACAAAGCCAACATGAACAGGAAGCTGAAACTAAAAATGGAACCGATGAGAAACCACCAACCAACTTCTGACCAATCAAAAGCATTTTCTCCTGCTTCTATAAATACTTCACGAAAGTTTCCTCTCTGGACAGAGTGGTACCTCTAATTTGAATTGCAACATACTCAAATATACTGTAAAGTTTAAATATGCTTAAATTTTCCTCTAGCACTGAGCTACATCCCCACTCATTTTTTTATTCTGAGATAAGGTCTCACTAAGTTGCCAAGGCTGGTCTCGAACTTCAGATCTTACTGCCTTGATCTCCCAAGCAGCTGGGATTACAGGCATGCAACCCCACACCCAACTAAGCTTTCCTTATATCAAAGATAAACCCTCAGGACCTTAGATTGGGCAATGGATTCTTAGATAGGACATCAAAAGCATAAGTAATTTAAAAAAAATAGGTGAACACAGTGGTACAAGCCTGTAGTACCAACTACTCAGGAGGGTACGATGGGAGGGTCATCGGAGCCCAGGAGTTCAAGACCAGCCTGGGCAACATAGTGAAACATACCCCCAACCCCGCCACGTCTGAAACAAACCAAGGGATCAGATAAAGAGTGGATTTCATAAAATTAGAAACTCTTATACATCAAAAAACATGACCAAAAAAAAAAAAAAAACGACAGACTAGTAGAAATGCAGCTTTAGCATGCATGAGGCCCTGATTCAATCCCCAGCACCACCAAAAAGAAATGAAAGAAGAAAGGAAAATAGATGGAAGCAAAGGAAGTGACAAATAACAAACTGAATAGAAAAAAAATTGTAAGTCCTGTACCTCATAAAAGATTAATATTAAAAATATATTCAGAATTATTACAACAGGACACTTTAACTTAAAAACAAAGGACTTGACATTTCTCCAAAGACACATTAAAAGGCCAATAAGCTCATGAAAAGATGCTCAAGGCCACATCAGCTATTAGGAAAATGTACATCAAAACCACAATGAGCTGGGAGCAGTGGTGTGGGCCAGTAATCCCTGTGATTTGGGAGGCTGAGGCAGGAGGATAGCAAGTTTGAACACAGCCCAGGTAATTTAGCAAGCCCCTGTCTCAAAATTAAAAAGAAGGAGCCAGGATTTAGCTCAGTGGTACCAACGCCTGCCTCAAAATTGCAAGGTCCTGAGTTCAATCCCCGGTATCAAAAATAATTATTAAAAAGAAAATCTTTAAAGGTTTGGGGATGTGGCTTAATGGTAGAGCGATAGAGTGTCCCCGAGTTTGGTCTCAAGTACCACAAAAAAATAAAAAGAAAAGTAAAAGACTGTAATGGGCTGGGATTGTGGCTCAGTGGCAGAGTGCTTGCCTACATGCATGAGGCCCTAGATTCAATCCCAGCATTGAAAAATAAATAACAAGCATTGGAGATAACATGAAATTGGAAATTCATACACAGCTGGGGGGAACAGTCAGCATATATCCTCCTGGGCATATATCCAAAGAATGAAAACAGGTACTCATGTAAACACATACACAAATAGTTCATGGTAGCAACACACACAATGGTCAAAGAAGAAAACAACTCACATAGCCGTTGACAAATGAGTAAGTAAAATGTCACAGAGACAATGGATTATTCCTCAGCCATAAAAAGGAATCAAGTAGTGATACAACCTAGAAATAGATAAAGCTAAAGGGCATGCTGAGTAAAAGAGGCTTAACATGAAGGGTCACATTGTATGAAGTAGTGAGAAGAGATAAATCCACAGAGATAGAGTATTTGTTTACAGCTAACAAGTTATGGGAGAGGGCAAAGCAGAATGACTGCTTCCTATGCCCAAGGTTTTATTTTGGGACAAGGGAAATGTTTTGGGATTTGACAGAGTTGATTGTACAACGTTGTGAATACAAGAAGTGGCTCCGAAGTGTTCCATTAAAATAGCTCATTTTACATTACATATATTTCATATCAATCTAAAACCCAAAGAAGCTGGAAGCAGTGGTGCACACCTGTAATCCCAGCACTCAGGAAGCTGAAGCAGGAGGATCATTACAAGTCTGTGGCCAGCCTCAACTATATGGAGTAACTCTGTCCCCAAAAACGAACAAATATAGCCTTTGAGCTGCACTTGGCCTGTAGGCTTCATCCTCCCAGCCCTGCCTAGGCCCTGGTGGGACTGGCATGGGCCAGGACCAGAAGCACTTCCCTTACTTGGATGTGATTTTTTAGGGCAGAACCTCAGGCCTTCAAGTAGCACTTCCTGGGGACACTCTTCAAAAGCATAATGGGACAGCAATCCACAAGAACACTCATGTGCAAGAAGCTTGCACCTAGATGGCCAGGCTCAGCGCACAGTCCAAGTGGCAGAGGCAGGAGGCACAGAGGCCACTGCCGGTGTGGATCCCCACCCAAGGCGTCTTCCTGAGGAGGAAGCTGGATGGGTGGAGCCATCTCCTATACCTCCAGCGTGCAGGCTCCAGCCAAGAACTCCCATAAGAGCTCAGGACTGTCACTCAAGGAGTGCGCCTGGAGGGTGTGCAGCCTGGAGGGTGTGCAAAGGGTGGCTGGAAGCAATGGCTTTGCAATACTAGGTCTGCCGGCACTGCCACAAACCCAGAGCTGTGTTTTCCTTCTCTGTAACAGCCTAATAATCACCCCTGGGGGACAGAGCTGAGTAAGAGGGTGAAATCAGATACAGAGGCTCAGAGTAAAGCTCCTGAATGTCTCAGCCTCTTCCTGGGTGTGTGTGAGACATGAGCAGGCAAGGATGTGGCCAGCAGAGGACCATCAGGGACAGTGCGCCCAACCCCAACCAAGCAGGCACCCTGTGTCAGAAAAGCAGCAGGCCTCAATGGTGACCCTAGATAAAGGGCAGTGGGTTTTCCTGCCACTCAGACTGGATTACAAATAAGCCCCTTTCCTCCAATTGGCTAGATGAAGGCCACCTCCCAGAGTCCAACCCCACAGACAGTGAAGGTGGGAAGGGGATTCAAACATCCTTAAGAGACCCTACTCCATTTAAGGGAAAATGAAGCATGATGATTCTAAGAAGCTTCCCCTTGACTGAACAGAGGCAAAAAAAAAAAAAGAAAGCTACAAACCAGGGCCATTGAGACTAATGGCCCCTTCCCACACACTGGTCAGCCCAACCCCACTGTAACTGCTTCCTGCCGCTCACTCAAACTCCAAACCTCCCCATGGTTCTCTCCCTGCCTAAGCCTGGACCCCAGGCCTACACCACTGCCTGGCTCAGTGAGCTGCTCCATACAGCTACTACATTCTGCACAGTATCCACCTATACCGAGGGCCAACCATTATGATCCTCACCTTGCCAGGATTCGTAGAGTGATAACCAAGCCTTACTGGAGCAAGCAGTTAAAGGGTAATTCCACAGAGGAAAGGTCCCTAAACATAGCATTGACCTTAATCTTAACCACTACGTAAAGTTAACTCCAGGCTTAACCTCGCATTAGAAATCCAGGAGAACCTTAACAGCAGCCCCAGCCTTTTGCTGCCCACTACCACTTCTAATTTACAAACAAAAAATAGAGACACCCCAAGTAAATACACGTGACAGAAAGGGGACCCTGGAGTCTGTGTCCCACTGAGCCACACGAAGAAAGCCTGGCTCACCCAGAACATGAAAGATCCATGCCTGGAGAGCATGCCCCAGCCCAAGAGATCCTTTGCTGAAAGGGAGGCCTAGTCTCTGCCAGGCACCATATCCCTCAAAGGTGCTGAGAAGCCTCCTGCCTGTCCTTCAAGGGCCATGAGTCATGGATGTATCAGGCCTCCCCCAACTCCCTGTCCTCCAAGAGCTCTGGCCTGGAGGAAACCATTGCACTATTCTTGTGTGTGTGTGTGTGCGTGTTTCTACAAATACACTCTGGGAACCCTGTCAAGTAGAAAGCGTGCCGTGGGCACCTAAAGACAGCCCTGTTCCAGGCTGTTCCACCTCCCTCACCCCCTGATAGCCCTTCCTAGGACCTAACAGGAAATGTAGATTCTGAACCTAACATCAACCTTAACCATACTGATGGCCCAGGGCACAGCTGAAACCTACCACTCTTGGCGCTGACCAAAATCTCTGTCCAGTCAATACAGCTCCTTCCTACAACACCCCCTGACCCTTGGCTTTGGGAGTCAGGCCCTTGTCATGTTGTCACTGTCCTGACCAGCACAAAGCCACATCTAACAGGGACCCACAGGTGGGCAGAACTCACCAACATCCGAGTCTTTGTGGGTCTTGATGACCTCAGCCAGCTCGAAGTTGCCTGCGATGATGGCCACCTGAGAGAAAGGGAGGCCAAGGCTGAGGGCAGACAGCCAGCACGCACAGACCCCGACCCCTCAGACGCTCCTTCCTTCTCCACCCTGGTGTGGGGTCTTCAACCCTGAGCTGGCCTTCTTCTCAAGTTACCACATTCCTGTCTATTTATGTACCTGAGACACAACTACTTACAGACAGGAGCTAAAGGGTGCTACACACACACCTTGCAGCAGGCCAGTCTTCTCAGGATCAAGAGGCCTCCTGGACATAAGACCCTCAAAAGCTGGAACCATATAGTCCCAAGCATAGTGGAACATAGTTTCATCACACCTCCATCTCTCCTGTCTCAGCCATGGCCCTGCAGTTGTCCAACCTCTCATTTTCATTTTCCTTCCCTGGGCCCTGCACTAGTCATCCAACAGCCGATCAGCTTCCAGGTGTGCACAAAACTCCAGCACTGCCTCTACCACACAACCACAGCAGCCTGGCTCTCCCACCTCTCTGAGAGACCTGTGCTCCTACTGAGAACAGACCTCACCAGGCCCTCCAACTCCCTCAAAGTTCTAGGCCACCTGGGGAGTCATCCACCTGATTATCTAGTGGGCAAAGGCTCAGAAATATGGCCTGGAGTAAGTCAGGAACTGGTATCACAACCCTCGGGTCTGTTCTCCTGTCTTTTCATCTGCCCCTCCCACTATGCAAACCCCCAACCTTCCTCTCCCCCAGGGCGAGGGCTGGAGAGAACCCCACATCAAACACCCCCTCACATAGCAAGCACAGCACTGGCCCATCCTACCTCCACCTCCTGCAGGAACCCCGGGAGTGAGGATTCCCTTCTCACACTCCAAGGAAGAAGAAAGGTTCAGAAAAGCCAAACACCGAAGACAGGCAACCCCAGAAACCTCACGTTCCTGCAAGTGTACCTGGAAGGCTGTCTGGCTGTTGTAATTGCGGACATCCTTGTTGGCTCCTCGGAAAAGCAGGACACGTGCACAGCTCTCCTGTGGGGAGGCAGTGAGGGTCACATGGGCAGCTGGAGAGACGGAAGGGCCAAGATGCAATGGCAGGCATACACGCAGAGACACTGAGGTCATACAAGTATGCAGGGCACAGGAACACACACACACACACAGACTTGCACCCTCATGTTCAACATGTTCTGGGCCAGGTGGGTTTTTATGGTAGGTCCCACCTGCCCAGAGAGCATGGTTTACACAGCGTACATGTGGTTATTCAGAACTCAAATGTGCAAATGTCAACACAGGGAATAGACGTGCACACACAGAACCACGAGAACAGCCTGGAATCGCAACTCACTGCAGGGCACAGACTACACAGGCAGAGGAGCACACGGGCTGGGATGTAGTCATCCATGTGCAGGACCAAACACGCATCCAAGAACACACATTGCGCCTCCACCTCACATGACACACACTGTGACACACAGTCGCACCTGGTTGTAGAGGGCACAGATGTGCAGGGCAGTGTTCCCTGAGGCGTTCTGGGCACCCATGTTAGCTCCGTAGAACAGCAGATGCTCCAGGTGCTGCACATGCCCAAAGCGGCAGGCCTGGGGGATAGGGCAATGTCAGGACGACAGAGGTGAGGCCCCACCCACACAGAGCCGAACCAGCACCAAGCTCCCTGCCCACCTGGTGGATCTCCTGCCAGCCATTCTCATCAGTAGTCCCCAGCTGTGCATGGTCGTGGAGAAGCAGTTCGCAGCACAGGGCATCCCCGCCCCCCAGGGCACTGTGGTACAGAGGTGTCAGGCCGCGGCTATCCTTGTAGTCAGGTGAAGCCCCCAGGTCCAGCAGCGTCTAGGGGCAAGAAGCCTCAGCATCTGTGCCACACTCTGTTTCTTCCCCTGCCAGGCCATTTGCTCTGCCAGGTCAGGGCCCTGCCCTCACTGACCGTCAGAGCCCCCGCATTCCGCTGCCGGGTAGCACAGTGCACAGCAGTTAGCCCATCCCGGGTGCGGAAGTCCAGGTGGGCGCCACCATTCCTCAGCACTTTCAGCAGATCCGAGGCATTATCTAGCTGGGCTGCGAGGCTCAGAGGGCACTCTGGGTATAAGGAACAGGTGAAATTAGGGTCTCAGCCACCCAAAGAACAGCCCCTCCTGGCTCTGCTCCTCACCTCCTGAGTCAGGGTCATGGAAATTGGGATCCAGCCCCTTGTCCAGCAGGCGGGCCACCTTGTCTGTGCTGTGCAGTTGGACATAGTCCATGAACTTCTTTAGGTTCGCCTATAACATGAGCCATCCCAATCAGCTGGGGGCCATGGCCCCACCATCCAACCATCACTCCCACCCTCCAGCAAGCTGCAGGCCACCTGGAGGGCCCACTGCCACTGCCTCCGGTCAGTCCTGTCATCCAGCATGTTTACTTCCCTGGGTCCTCACTTCAAATCCACAGCTGTCAGCCTAAGCCCAGCCACCCTCACAACAGCCAGGTCACCCTCGTCACATACACACCCACCCACGAGTATACACCTCAACCTCTGTGGTTTCCCTGATTCGGCCTCTTAGCCTGATGCCCCATCCCAGAAAAGCCCTTGGTACAGGAGGGCAGGAGCCAGCCCCGTGACACCCAAGATCTCACCATTCCAAGGCCCTTCTCTGGACCACCTTTCTTACCAGCTCATCAGAGGACAGACTACTGAGCCTCTAAGAGAGGACCCTTCCTGCAACTCATTCACACAGTCATACATCAGTTCTCCTTCCCAAGCCTCCCTGGTCACATGGACACCACGTGGCCAGGAACCTGTCCAGGGCTCGAGACACTCAGCATGCATCAGTAATGAGAAAGTGCCATAGGGACCACTGCCACAGAACGGGGCCATGAAACCGGGGGAAGAAGTTCACAACCAAATGAAGGGTGGTGCAGGGCCCCTGAGGGAAAGACCAGCCCAGGGCTGCAGGGGAGAGGGCAATGCTGGCTATAACCCAGGCTGCAGGAGCACAGAGCTGTGGTAAGAAGCTCAGACTCACTGACTGCAACTCACTATGTCCTCTTGGCCACTAGGGAAGATTCAAAGCAAGAGTAGCCATGGGACAGGGATCCAGGATGACAGGGCCACCAAAAGGCTAGTGGCAGGAAGCAGGGACCTTTCTGACATGGTCTCCACCTAACCACAGAGTCAGGGCTGCTGATGGCAGGCAGCAGAAAAGTCTGGGTCAGAAGCTCAAAGACTGAGGATCACAGACAGGGTCTGGGGGCACAGGGATCCCCTCCTAGCCTCCAGAGACCATCTACAAAGTATCCCACAGAGCTGGTCGGGGGCTCAAAGAGTCTGCCCATGAGGAAGGGATGTGGCATCCAGCTTGGCCCCTAGATGTCAGAGAAGCCAGGGAGGTGCCCCCACAGAACTCATGGGATCATGCACCCAGCAGTAAAGACACCTCACAGGGGTGCCAGGGCACATCTGGGCCAGTATCACCAGCTGCAGTCACAAGCAGACAACTTGAGCCCGCTGAAACCCAATTTCCTTGCTTGTGAAGTGGATAATGATCACCCCTCCCAGAAAAGAATTAGCAAGGTGCTTGGTTATAAGTATCCCCCAAAACCAGCACAACAGATACCTATTTCTCCCCTAGTCCCTAGCCTCTCTCAGGATACCCTGGCCTCTTAGCCAGGAGCTATCAAAAGTCTGTTTTGGCCAGAGGTGGTGATACACCACTCACAAGTCTAGAAAATACATCTACTCACCCGCCCAGTCCCACTCTCGGCCCAGTCCCACTGTGACAATATGGTCTAGCAGACTTGGCCAGTGCTGGTGGGAGGGATATGGTCAGACCCAAGCTGGAGCAGGGGGCAGGGGGCCGACATGGTGGAGGCTCCCTCCCTGCGACTATCTCTTTACCTTCGTGTGCAGCTTTGCAAACTGCTTGTCATCAATGAGGTTCTGGGCATAAACTCGCCGCTTGTATCGAAACTGCTCAGATAAAGAAAAGGGAGAGAGAGCGCCCGCCCACATGGACGGAGTGAGCAAATAGTCACCACTACCACTTGCTCACGCACACCGCTCCCCACCCTCACCACACAGGCGCTTCGTGCACACCCCCCAGAGCTGCAAAACGGGCAGCACGTAAGCCCCAGACACACACTGCCATGGTGGACAGATACAGCTGATGGCAGCCGCCCGCCCACCCACCACACTCAGACACCATGCATGGTACCAGGAAGATAGTGTGGCTGACCCACATCTTGTCTCATCCCCAAGGTTCCCTGGAAAAGCTTCTCCTCTCCCAAGAACTGACAGCAGATGTCCCAGACATCCTCTCTGAGCAGAACTGACCTTTCTTCCCTCTGACCACAGAGGTCAGGTCACCTTTAGGTCAGTGACCGTCATTCCTTCTTCAGTGCACGGAGATTATCACCCTCACCCTCCCCAAAAGACAAGACCCCCTGCTGGGACGCAGGCCACATCCTCCAGACCTGGAAGGGGAGTAGATGCCCCTTTATACCATGAATGGGGAAGAGGAGGACTCAGGCCCACTTCGAAAGACTTGCGGTGGGGCTCGGGGACAGAGGCGCTCTCTTCACTCACCTCCGCAGGTTACTCGGGCTCCTGTGCACCCTGAACACGCTGCCTGTGTGCCCCAAACACGTCTGCACTCACCGCTTGCTGCCAGCAGCGCGTACACGGCCCTCACTGTTCTTGCTGCCCAAATTGCAAGTCTGCACCCGTTGCTCACCACACACGCAGCTCGCAGGCACGCACGGCCCCACCTCCCCGCGCCCCTCGCTCCGCACCCAGTCCCCTACCCCGGGCAGACCCGCACCTCCAGGTAGGGCAGGGGCGTGTCCAGGTTGGGCGGGTAGTCCTGCAGCAGCCGCTCTTCGTCCAGGAACTTGCCGGCGCGGCCCCGCGAAGGCGGCTGGAAGAGCCCGTAGTTGAGTGCGTCCTGCAAGCTGTGGTTGAGGGCGCAGAGCACGCGCTGCTTGGCGGCCCACACGGGCGCGGTCGGGTCCAGGCGCAGGCACTTCTGC